CTGGCCATCTTCCTCTACGTCAAGTTCGTCGAGGCCAACTCGGACTGGGACTACCACGGTGACCCATTCAACCGCATTCTCAGGGTGAATCGCCTCTTCTTCGACGAGGACTCCTTCACCTGCCAGCACCTGATGGTCCTCGCCTACGTCGGTCTCAGCAGCCTCATCGCATCGTTCACCACCCTCAGCATCAAGAGCCTCGGTGAGATCATCTCCCGTGGCATAGGCGGTGACACCGCCAGTCTCCTTCACAGGAGCACCCTCCTCTTTGCATCCTCAGTCGTCATTTGCACCCTTCTACAGATTTACTGGCTGAATCGTGCTCTGGTTCGATACGATGCTCTTTTGGTGGTGCCAATATTCCACATTTCATGGACACTCCTATCAATCACAACTGCTGGAATCTACTTCCAGGATTTCGATCACTTCTCGTCCCACCAGTTCAGGATGTTTCTGTACGCATTGGCAGTGATATTCTGTGGATCACTCTTTCTGGGTGCACGAGTAGTAAACAAGAGAGACGTGAGGAGTAGGAGAATAGAAATACCAGAAGAAGAGATAGTTACTAATGTTGGGTAGAAATATTATAGGTAGTGACAATAGTAGGTAGTGACAATAGTAGGTAATAATATAGTAGAAATATATTATAGTGACAATTATACTTTATTATCTAACTACCACTACTACAACTACCACCATTATAACCTCCCTGTTTCAATCATTTCATCAAATAGTGCTTTCACCATCCCCAGTACGTTCCTCTTCACTTCCATGTTGATGCTATCGATCTCCTGCAGTGGTGGAATCACTGAATTCTGCATCATCCTCCCGTATGACGCCAGTTGGTGTCGTAGATGCTCAATCCGAGTGGCTGTCTCGTACAACTTGGTCTCCCTATCACTGTACCTTTTTGACTGACTCCTGAAGTCACCGTAGTACTTCGATGGATCAGTCTCCAGCATCACAACTGTCTTCTCAAACTGATCAATGCTCTTCTTGTACTTCTCCTTCACCTTATCACCAAGGTGGAGATCAATTGCTGCCGAAAGCTGCTCCTTGGTCAGCTTGGTTCCATAGTTGTTGTTGACTATTGGACTCATGAGCTTCTTCCGGAAGAGAAGGAGCATCTCCTTCGACGCAGGCTGCGAGAAGCAGCCCTTGATGAAGCAGTCAGTCGGTATCTCCTTGAAGGTGAGCACACTGTGGATGTGGCCCTCACACGTCATCTTGCTCTGCACCTCCTTGCTTCTGGTCATTATTGTGGTCAGATCATCAAGAAGAACATTGTTGTCAAGGGACATGAACATCCGCCTGTGATTGACCAGCTTCTCCTCCTCCTTCTTTGCATCGCTCTTCAGCTCAGCCAGAACTCTTTTGATTATTTCAAGCATGTCGAGTTCACTCGTCTCAATTTTCGATACTGCCTGCTTCACCTGGTGGAGTTCCTGGGTGACTTGGCTCAGCTCAGTTTCAGTCTCATCTTTCTGCATTCGTAGGGAAGCAATGCGCTTTTCAAACTGGTGGANCAGCTCAGCCAGAACTCTTTTGATTATTTCAAGCATGTCGAGTTCACTCGTCTCAATTTTCGATACTGCCTGCTTCACCTGGTGGAGTTCCTGGGTGACTTGGCTCAGCTCAGTTTCAGTCTCATCTTTCTGCATTCGTAGGGAAGCAATGCGCTTTTCAAACTGGTGGATCTTGTACTTCAGGAAGCAGTGGGTGAGAATGAGACCAAGTATCAGCACGGCAATTGCCACTGCGTAGAGAGTGCACTTTTCTCTGTTGGTTTTGAATTCCATTAAATTATTAGGGTGAAAATAGTAAGAATAGTAACTAGTAAGAATAGTAACTAGTATGGTAGTAAGTAGGGTAGTAAGAATAGTAGAATAGTAAGAATAGTAGTAAGAATAGTAAGTAGGGTAGAATAGTAACTAGTATGGTAGTAAGAATAGTAACTAGTATGGTAGTAAGTAGGGTAGTAAGAATAGTAGCAAGAATAGTAGTGAAAATACATCATTCTGTTTATAGTTATTTTTCACCTGATACAATTTGTGCCCACTTCTCTTCATCTATTTTTGGTATTGATATTCTGTCGTACTCATTTTGTATCTCCATTCCAATTCGACCACCAAACTGAATCAGATCATCCCCACTCACATTCGTCATTCCACTCATGTAGAGCAGCACGTTGTACTTCCCATGCATCACACGCAGTGCAGCAACAAGTCTCCTGTAGATTGTCGTGATATACACGTTCTTCGTGTACAGCATCGTCTGCTCAAGCAGAAGTAGCCCATCAATATAGTGATCAACAAATAGCCAAAAATCACCAGGTGATTCACCACCAATTCTGCCGTAGAGTCGCCTGAGACCACCCATCGTCCCAGTGGCCTCGATGTCGTCGTCGTAGCTCGTAGTTTCGTTCATCAGGTCGTGGTGCTTCGTGACCATCTGGTTCACCCATCCACGAACACGGGTTCGATCAGCCTCGATGGTTTGGACGGCGCCTTGGAGCATCTCAGTCATCATAAACCCCTTGAACAGGCTGAATTTCGCCTTATTTTTTTCAATAGTTGATTTCTGCCTTATTCTTGACGAATTCGTCTTTCTGGTCTCAGCCAGCTGCTCCCTCCCAAGTTCCATCATCGTCTTGTACTTTTTGATACGCTGATCCAACCTATTTTCGTGCATGTCAAATGTGCCATCAATTCGTTTATCAAGGTAGAAGAAGAGT